AATCTGGCATTTGCCATCTTATGAAAGAAATGGGTATTTTTGTCCCCCTCTTTCAGCCACCTCACTTTAGCCCTCTGCCTCCACTGCCAATTTGTCATACCTTAGCTTTGCTTGAGACCTCTTGAGCCTGCTTTCCTCGAAAATAGGGCCAACCTCTTTAGCTGAATCAACTTCCTCAATGATACTCAATAGGGCTCGCTTTTCAGTTTCTGACTTCAAGGAGATTCCCTTTTTCAAGAGTTTTAATTTCTTTTTTACTGCACCAAGTTTTCTTGCCAAGATATAAGAAGCAGTACTTTCCACCTACAACCCACTCCACACATCCCTCAAAATTTGAATAAGATTTGCTTCTTCAAACCAGGAGTTCTCCATCTTGAACGGGGCTTTGACGTTGTCTTGAAAACCACAAATCAACCGGATTGGACAGTGGTCAGAAATTGGTCTAGGGAGAGCAACCTGTCTGAAACTAGGAAGCAAATCCTCTCAACTTTGAGAGACCAAGAATCTATTTAGTCTCACTAAGGTAGGAGAACCTTGATTATTCGTCCAGGTGAACCGACTACCTTGAAGAGGAAGATCCATCAGATCAGAGTTGTTAATAAAGTCTACAAATTGGAGCATCTCTCTAGATCTCCTACATCTAGTACTCTTTTCTTCAGCAGAAAGGAAAACATTAAAATCACCTCCAATCACCCAAGGGATAGACAAATTAGCCCTCACCCATGCCAATTCCTCCCAAAACTCATTACAACGGATTCTATCCGTAGGGCCATAGACATTTGTAACCTGACAGACCTTATTATTAGTAAATTTCAGCACCAATGATACTGAGAAATTTCCAACATGAGCAGAAACAAGACTACAAATAGAAGGATCCCAAAGATTCAACAAACCCCATGCGCTACCTACAGCCATTTTTGCTTTCCACCTGACCTCACCCTCTCCCCAAATGCTTCTGACAATAGCAGCATCCATATACTCCAATTTGGTTTCTTGCAACATAATTAACTTTGAGGCCGACTTCTTCAAAGATGCACAAACCACAACTCGTCTTCTTCCCGAACACAATCCTCTGACATTCCACGATACAATTTTCAAATCCATATGAGACATGAGAAGCAAATCAGCAAAACCCCCTACCTGAACTCAAACTTTTTTCCCTCCTCTCATTGTCCCCTCACTACACCCCGCCTTGTCATTAAGCCCCCAAGTTAGCCTCATCATTTCCCTGCTCCTCTTCGAATTAGCTCCCCCTTTCTTAGCTGAAAGCTTCCCTCTCTCCAACAGGACCCTATGTTCAATCCCCTCCAAGAACTTGATTGTTTCATCCTCCAACCCCTCCATCGACACACCAAAGAATTTTCCCAAGCCCAGCAATTTAGAAGAAACCCAAGAAGAAAACGGATTATCAGGCTGCATAGCATCCTGAAGCAACAGATTGGAATTCTTACCTCTGAAGTCATTCATCTGAATAACACTTCCAGTTCTCTTTCGAGTATCACCTACTCTCTCCCTCCCTTCCTCACCGCTTCTCTAAAGGAAATCCTCTCCCCCTCTCTTCCACCGTATCAGTGGACTCCACCACAACAATAGGTTCTGCTTCCACAAAGTTATCTTCCATTCTCGCCACTATTAGGTCTTGCATTTCCAAGCTAGAATTCTCCAGCAGCTGAGGAGAACATGAGCGCAAAGAGCTGAGATGCTGCCAAGAGTCTCATGATCACTACCCCTGCCGTTTGGCTCCACCCAATGTGACAGATGCATGCACCCAAGGTTCGCCGCATTAAAGAGTTGACTGGAGCTAGTGGGCTCCCCAAGACCTGGAGTATAGACATCTTTTCTTCGGAAAAGAGACTTGGGCTCACTTAAAGATTTTGGCCTAAGCCCACTATTAAACCTTTGTGATTGGCCCTTACCCAGGTTTAAGTGATTTAACTGGGCTTTCTAACTTCCTATTAAAGCCTCCTGCCCCCCTAATAAAGTCTCCTAACCCGAGCAGGACTAGAAGACAGGGCTCTGACATTTGAATTCTTCCAAGGGAGCCACGTTCATCTCTATCAGACACTCCTTAATTAAATTTTTTAACTCCTTTAATCCCAGACCCCGCCCAAAAACCCCTTCATCTGAGATTTGAATTCTAGCATCAAGGCTTTTTCTAGAAGGCACATCCTAACCCTTCATCTCATCCGTGATCAGATGCTTCAAAATAAAGTGCGCCCTTTCTTCTTCTCCTTCTCTAGTCACCGGAAAACGTGTAAGTGAGCCAAGATTAACTTGGGTTCCCTTACAGGGATTCTGCTTCTGCGGAGACTCGTCCATGCCTTCCAACACTAGGGATTTTGAAGTATCTGAGATCACATTCGCCTGCATCTGAGGAATTTTGACCCCCCTTTCTCCCACTTTCCATCTACTAATAGTCAGCAAGAGCTCAGGCCAGATTTGAACTGATAACAGGGACTCTCCAACCGCCACCTCCGCCCTATTCGGAATAGCTTCACATGTACGGACTTTCATTCTAACCCATTCGCAAGTAGCGACTTCTGAAGGGGAGTCCCTCCTTGCTTCTACTGCTTGACCACCACCAACCTATTTTCCAACTTTCACACCTCCAAAGTGCCAAAATCCGGCCATGCACCAGCCGCCACCACCTTACTATAAGATACATTAGATCTGGTCCTCGCATCAACCCCCCCTTTTTGAGACCAATTTCTGGCTTCCCATCTCCGTTTCTCGCCCGGTGGAAACCTGGAAGAAGATCTACGGTACATCAAACTAATTCCACGCCTTTATTATTATTATTAAACAAAAACATGTTCTATAAATAGACCCTAAAACCACTAAGGCTAGAATCAGACTTTGACAGGATAGATTCCAAGTTTTATCTTGGAATCGAATCAAACAAGTCCATGCTCAAAGTGCAGGGTGAGGCCCACTGGCCAGGCCACATGGGAGTGGTGTGGAGTTACCATCTCGATCACATGTTCATTGGCCCCTCTGCCTCCCAAAAGAAACGTGAAAACAAACTCAGACACTTCTGTACATCACGAACTAGCCTAAGTTGCCATACTGATACAAATATCCGTGGGACCATAATTTCTTTTCAGTTATTGTTAGTCCCTCTTTCTATTTCAACCCCCCACCACCTTAAAGGATTTAAAATGCATTTCAAAGGCATTTATTCTCACTTTTTGAACCCTAGACTCTGTTTGGGAAGAGTTCAAATACAAAAAATTCTGTATTTGCATATAAATACAAATATATTCACTACAAAATCTTGTATACAATATTTTTAAACTTTTATGTTTGCGTCATACATATTTGTATTTGTACTCTCCGCAAAATGAGCTTTAAGAGATTTTTTTTCTTCGAACACAATCTAAAGATGGAGCATTTAAAGATTTGTGAAAATAAAACCGTTTTTCTTTTGTTCTTAAAAAATTGTGAATGACTTCACCTGGTGCCTACAAAAAGAAAAAGAGTCCATTGAAGGGATACGGATTCTCCGTGTTAGAAGTTAGTATCCATGATTGTGTTGGTTATAAAATGTCAAGTAAGGATTTCAAAACTCAGTCCTAGTCGCTTATTGCAAATTCTTGGATTATGCTAATGTTCAAGAATCTTCTTGGATTAGTTGAGTTTTAGAAAGATTTAAGTCTTAGACGAGTCTTTATTTCCTTTTTATTTAGAGTAAAATATGATGCCAAAAACTTGGATGGTTTATAACAAGGGCTTTGGTGTTGTTTGAACTGCCTTGGCTGAGCGGTTTCAAAGAAGTTACTAAAACTAGATTCACTGGTAAGTCAATTTCTCAGCCCATATAAGCCAAGGTTCAAAGTATTGACACATATTGGCTGATACGTATCGTTTTGGGACCCCTCTGATATGCCCCTATAGTGGGTGTATCGGGGGTCTGACTGGTTCAGGAGATGGAGGAGACCTAAACCGACCCCCCTGAACTGGTTTCAAAAAAAAAATAATATCAATTCGCTCGATATGCCCATATCAGCGTATCGGACATATCAATATTTTGAACCTTGATATAAGCGTCCTTGGGCTTTGATTGTTCTTCATCAAACATAGCTTCACGACTATTGAAAAGTCTATTTCTTAGCTAAAATAACAAATAGTTGAGCTTTTTGGAGTTTTTACCAATAGGTTCGCTGTGGAGCTCACCTTACAAAGCCAGAAGCCACTGCATAAAAACCCTCCAAAAGGGCACCAGCAGTCTGTTTGAAAGGGTTTATGCATTGATTGAGCTGTGTTGACTAAGCCGCTTGTGAGAAACTAACTGAGACAGCATCATCAGAAAGTTGATTCAATGATTTCGCAGCTCATGTACCTATTTTTTCTGGCCATATCTGTCATAACGAAGGGGAATATAATGCTAGTTTCAACATCATGGGTCTCCTTTGTATTTAACATATACGTACGGGTAGGTGTCAATTGGACTGGATTTGGTCCAATATGAGTCCATTATAAATGGACCAGGTCTAATTCAATCTAATGAATGTTTTGGAACAATTTGAACCGGTCTAATTCAATGTCTGAACCATCCAATCTGTTCAAATTCATTTTCATTTTGATTTGAATTGATTTCAAATCAAACCTGGTCCATTGGCACATATGTTCTTATTTTATATCAATGGACCAGATATTGGCTTAATCCAACCCAATCCAATATAAATTTATTAGACGGATCAGGTCCAATTCAATCTAATAAATATTTTGTACCGAATTGGTCCAATCCAATGTCTTTTTGGTCCATCCAGTCCATCCAAATTGATTTTGGATTGGATGGGGACACGGGGTCCAATCCAAAACCGGTCCATTGAGACCCTTTTGTACGGGAGATATTCCCAATGAGCATTCTGCCAAAGTTAGATTATCGCTTCCTCCATTGGATTTGTTGTTTTCTCTCATAATCTATGGTACGTACTTACGGCGCCAATGCTTTCTTGTTTGCGCCATTGCTCTTATAAAAGAAAAAAAAAAGAAAAAAATAATGAAATCAATGAATGTTATGTATACATATGGCCGAAAAGCTGCACATCTCGTTTCAATCTCCATTAAGAGCTTTCCTCAGGGACAAAAAACCTTTGTAGCTATGGATAAATGTGGGCACATGATTCAGGAATACTGTTAACAGTCTACAGGTTTACCTCTTCTTGGCTACTCTGAAATCCACATTCAAGTCTGATTGCTGCCATGAGCTGTGGAGGAACTGATCCTAGGGTGTTTTCCCCTTTGTCTGGCCAAGTCTTAAGCGAATTTCTAGTGTCTTTATTGGCACCACTAGGCTTGTCATCCTTTCCCCAACCTCTATAGAGAATGACCTTGCTGGGCTCCTGAGAGACTAATACAGCACCTGTTGCTTGCTGCAAAAAAGAGAAACAAGGAGTAAACCACCACAATTTCAGATATTATATTGAGATGGATTAGGAAGCCAAGCAAGAGGTTGCTCATATACACAGACCTCCAGCATGAAAACCACCTCCTGAACCGAGGTTCCCTTGGCTCTGCCTTTAATATTCACTATAGCAAGAGGGTGCTTCTGAAAGTGTATCTGGATTGCCTTTGCTACGCCGGTAATGATGTTGTTCTTCCCTGATTTTAACAGAATATATTACATTTTGTGAGGTACATAACAAATGTCTAATAACCATGCAAAAAAGAAAAAAAAAACCCTTCAATTGAGAACATAGTTATCAAGGCGACGCCTAGGCGGGTGCCTAGGCAACAAGGCGACCTTTGAGGCTCGCCTCACCTAATCGCCTAACAGTTTTCTACTTCCTACTATAAAAATTTTTTTTATTCATTCTTTCTTGATATTATAATTATAAAATAGACATTATTAAACTAAAATAATCATTTTGTGTGTTTATATACTAATTTCTTTTTATTATTTTCTTATTTATTAGGGTTTAATCAACACAAACATTGCTAAATGCTGTATTGAACCCTCAAAGACTTAAAAGCCTGAAC